GTGACAGTCGTGGGTTCGGTGGTGGTGACTTTCGGTCGAATTTCGATCTTTTTTAAGCCAGTAAGTTCTTTATTGTCTTGGTCAACAGGCGCAGTCTTCACTGCAAATTGACGCTCATTCTGTGCAAGTGATGACTGTGATCTGTCAATTTTCTTGTCTACTTGATACTCTCGGTTGTTTTGATCGTCTGTGTTGAAATCGACATTGGAAATATCTGGAATCTGCTTTTTTACTGCTATAGCAGCTTCAGCTATGTATGCTGATGCAGTCGATGCTTCTGTGCTAGGATCTGTCGAATTTTCAGTCACAGGCTCCTCGCTGGTCACTTCCACACCTGCATCTGTAGCTCCAGTCTCCTCAGATGTAGTGCTACCATAAGGATCTATTTCTGGGGTGCTAGATTCAGTGCTAGTGCTCACATTCTCAGTGGAATATGCACCTGCTGAAATGATAGTGGAAAGATCAACAGAAGCAACAGATTCGGTGGCAACAGAATCGGTGGTGGACATGCTTGGGACAGAAGAGGGTGCAGTAGAAGAATCGCTCATGCTATCGGTTATACCTTTTTGTAACTCCTCCAGGGTGGTTGCTGGTGTGGTAGAGCTGGGCTCATCAGAAGAAGCATAGGGAGAGATAGTGGTGTATTCAGGAGCGGTGGTGGAAGAGGCAGAACTATCTACTTCGTTCTCATTCTGTTCTTTACTCTCGTCCTCCGTAACTGGACTGAATGCGGCTACGTTCTCCATGGAATCCATAGTGACTGCCTTCTCACTCTGCTCTGTTCTAGGCACATTGGTTGTTGAGGAAACTTCTGAAAATGGTTCGATTGTCGTGCTTTGTGGGGATGCCTCAGTGCTGGAGGAGGTGGTGCTCTGTGCTTCATCTGAATCAGTGGTGTCTGCCGGGGCAGCCGTGGTGGGTTCGGTCGTGGTGACCGTGCTTGTGCTGGGGGTAGTGACTATACGAGTTGTGCTCCTGACACTGGTGCTGGTGCTTGTGGTTGGGGCTTCCGTGGTGCTTCCGCT